AATTCCACCTCTCACGTGTGATGCCCGAGCGGTGTTGCCATTCTGGCTCTCCCAGCTCCCAGGAGGGGTCCCCAGAATATACCCTATGTTTTCGCCATTGACTTCAATGGCCCATAGGATATCATGGGGCCAAAACTGACATTCTGCTGACCCTTTTTCAGGCCCGGCGTTCTAGCGTGGAGCCTGAAAAAGGAGGGGAGGGGGGGCTGCTCGGACATCACATGCGAGAGGTGGAATTTGCCCCTACGAGTCCAAGGCCACCACCCCAGGGCTCAGGGAGGCAAGGGAACGTTTCGCCCCGCCGCCCCCCGCGGGGGTGACTGCAGAAATTAGTTCGCTCTGGAGCCATCCTTCCTGAGCTAAGACAAAAGGGTGTGAGCCAGAGGCTAAAAAACTGTGAGCTAGCTCACAGTAACTCAGCTTAGAGGGAACACTGGTGTCAACCCCAACAGTGCTGACACAATTACATCACTTCTGGAAGTCATATCCGTGCGTTGGCAATGTCACGTGGGGATGTCTGTTTGGGGGTGGGGTTTCTCCAATGACCAGCTGGCCAGTGGCAGGCCTAAATCCACAAAAGCAGTGAATCCCCTGCCCCCACCAGTGTTCCCTCTAAGCTGAGTTAGTGTGAGCTAGCTCACAGTTTTTTAGCCTCCAGCTCACACATTTTTTCTTAGGTCAGAAAGGATGGCTCCAGAGCAAACTAATTTATGCAGCATACAAATTGCTCGCTCATAACTTTAACGCCAGTAGCACACAAAGTAGAATTTTTGCTCACAAGACTCCACAGCTTAGACGGAGCATTATTTATTTATTTTATTTATTTATTTTGTTCGATTTCTTAACCGCCCTTCCCCGCTTACGCAGGGCTCGCCCCCCATCTAGGGACTGGAAGGCCTATCAGCATCCCTCCATGCCATACAGCACCTGGGGTTCAGTCAAATGCCGCCAGCATCAAGGGAGCGCCTTCCCCATGCCACCCTGACCACACAGCCAATAAGTGGCTGACACAGGTGAGCTCCCTTCATCAACAGATGCCTCAAGGTACTCACTTTTATGCATCTTACTTTTTAAAAAGTAATCAAAGACAAATTTTTACATATTAATTATTTAAATAAACAACCAGAACTCTAGAGTAAACTGCTGCCAGAAAGTAGCCTACCAAAATCTGGGCCAGTACTCCTGTCGGCTCTCAGTTAGGTCATTATCAGTCTACTCTAACCAGGTCTATTTTAAAATACAGTGTGAAGCAGGCCAAAAAAAGGGACTCTCTTACAGTTAATTAGACAGTTCCCCAAAAAAATCCTGCTTGGCCCAGAAGCAACCAGCTCATTCCATAACATATACAACCTAACACACATTAATATCCAGATAAATCCCCAAATTCAGACCAAATGTAATGACCTTTCATATTTGTTTCTTATCTATTAAAAGCCAATCTTTCTTTGACTGCAAGCCATATTTCAGTATGTGGCACAGCTTTTGCATTCCACTTTTGAAGAATTATTCATTTAGCTATGTAAAAAGGCTCACGGGATCCAGAGCCTTTGTCCTCTTAACAGGTGGAAGTACCCTAATACAGTAAGTAGATTAACATCCAGTGCCAGCATTTTTCTTGCACAATTAAAAAGACCATATAGTAGGCACTTAAATTAGGAGGTCCAAACCCACCTGTTGACATTGTTTTGACTGCAATAACCTGTCACTGAAATCAAAAGAAGAAGAAAAATTTCAGGAAAGGGTTTCATTCTTAATTTGCCCTTATTTCCCCTCTATAATTGAAGAATTCCATGAAGCTTCGGTGTAATCATTAACTCCCTCCACTATTGAAACTAAGCCTGAACACATGTAACTAGACTGTATATATATTTTGCCTATTTATTCTCACCCCATCTTTTCCCCTTGTCTCCCAAAGTTTCAACTTGTAGATTGTAAATACCCTGGGGCAGAGACCTATCTTGTGCTCTGTAAACCATTACAAGATTTTAAAAAATAGTAAGGTTATTGCTCTTAATGGTGAAGTTACATTGAGCCCCTTAGGAACAGTAATGATTTTTGATGACATTTCTACAGGGCAAAGCAGGCTATAGAGAAAAATAATACACAGACTGCAGTGGTGCAGCTCCCCAAAATATTGCTTCCCCAATGACCTGGGAGAGTTTGAGCACACTGACTTGATTCCCACAAGCACTTTGTTCTGCCATTGAAGCACATTACTGGAGTTGTGTACTGGAAATGGTTCAACACACATCCAGATTATGGCACAAGTTCAAGAGTATGGATTGGGGAAGCTTCCCAAAGTAGGTTGAACATTGTGCAACCCAGCCAAACACTGAACAAGTCAGCCCACACAAATTACATGAGAAAGTCAACATGTTGACTGAAACAGAGGAATTGTATCAAGCCTTCATTAAATCCCTTCCAAACTATATTCAGGACATCAACGAATTAAAAAACAAATTTGTTGAAAGCGATTGTGATGTTTGGGAGGTAAGTAAATCACAAACAGTTTTGTTTTGCTTTTTAATTATCATTTTGTACCTTGGATAGCTAAGCTGCTCAGGTGTAACAACCTTGGCTCCAAAATCATTGCAAGCAGGAGCAGATAAAGCAGCCCTAGAAAAGCTCCCCCCTCCCCAATCACTTGACGGAGGGCCAGGGCCAGTTATGCAAGGCTAACCTCCCCCATCAGGCAAGAACAAGCCAATAGCAGCAGGCCTAGGCAGAGGGTGATGAGGGCAGGCACCACACCATCTGCCTCTGCCTGTGTCCTCAGCAGTGTCCTCACCTCTTGCCCAATCCAGCAGCCATGGGGCAAGACAGGAGCTGGCAAGGTCAGGCCCTGTACTGCTTGCTTCTGCCCAGCAGTGTCCTCCTCAGCCTGCTCTCAGGCCAGGTAAAGGCTCAGAAGAGGCAAATCTCCCCCCACCCAGGGCTCTAGTCGGGGGGGAGCTCTCAGGTACGGAGCTCCGGAAGAGAACCTCTAGGGGGCAGGGCGGTCACGTGGTGAAGCCCCGCCCCCTTCTTTACCCCGCCCTCTGCTTCGATCCTCATTCCGTTTGGGAATGAGGATGAAGCAGGAGGGTAAGTAGCCGGGCCTTCTGACACACTTCCGGTGATGTCAGGGGTGTGTGGCCTTCTGTCACTTCCGGTGATGTCAGGGGGCGTGGCATATGCAAATAAGTTATGCTAATGAGTTATGCTAATGAGCTCCGGCAGCTCTTTTTCTACAACAAGACCCCTGCCTCTAACACAGTGAATGAAAAAAAGGAAGCACATCTTTGATAAAACTAGCTAAATTCAGCAAGGACATTTTGCATAAGATGGACAAAGAATATAACTGCCATACAGAAAGCTGTATCCCAAATCTGAAAATCTTTACCACCTAAAAAACCTTCAGGGTCTTAAATGGGAAGTCTATAATAGAACTGGGGGGGGAAGAGCCCCCCCCCCCCCCGCATCTCACACACACCCCACTTCCTGTCCTGCATAGTCAGTTGTGGCATCTGAATCAGGCCAACTATGGTTACACCAAGTCCTATTTGAGGGGGTTTCTGGCCTGGAGGAAAATTATATGGATAGCAAAACCTTAGTTCGCCTATACCGAGCATTGTGACAAATCAGGAAGTAGAGGAGGAAATTGGCAAACACAAAGCATATGAGCCTGCACCATGTTCCTCCCAGTCAAAGCACAGGCTCACTATGACAGAACTGAGGGTTATCCATTCTCAGTGGAAGGTTACTTTATGTCCAGTGTTCCCTCTAAGCTGAGTTAGTGTGAGCTAGCTCACAGTTTTTTAGCCTCTGGCTCACACCTTTTTGTCTTAGCTCAGGAAGGATGGCTCCAGAGCAAAATAATTTATGCAGTAGCCAAGTCGCCCACTCACAACTTTAATGCCAGTAGCTCACACAGTAGAATTTTTTTCTCACAAGACTCAACAGCTTAGAGGGAGCATTGTTTGTGTCCTATTGCACAAATCAGCAATGTGAAAATTAAAAAAAGTAAACAGTGAAACAAAGGCCATTTATTTACCCCAATGACTCAAAGTGGAAAGGTTGAAATAACTACATTATGCACTCTCCAAGAAAGGAAGTGGCTTGTGTTCAAAATACTATTCTTTAGTGCTTAATTTTTAAAAAACAAATTAACATATTTTCCATTTAACAAAGCAAATCATACTTCCAGACTGCACCAGGTTAGAGTAAGCAAAGCAACTGTAAAAATGGGTTCAATATATTTGCCCACGTATTTAACGTACTGCTTCTTTACATTAAATAGTTATTAGAAGTTTGGTCACATAAGGAAACGAAGCACACATACACAGAAACCACTGACTAAGGTTAGAGTAAGCAAAGCAACTGTAAAATGGGTTCAATATATTTATCCAACTATTTAAGTACTGCTTCTTTACATTAAATAGTTGTTAGAAGTTTGGTCACATAAGGAAAAGAAGCACACATACACAGAAACCACTGACTAGGTGCAAGAACCTTGTTTCAATTCATGTAAATCTTGAGTTTTCAGAAGGATAAGCACAATGAAAATGTAGAGTAAACAGATGTGCATTCTCCCAGACAAAGATGCTGACTAGACACTGTCAGAGTTATCATTGCCTTTTTATAGCTATTCTAGTAACAATGGCAAGTTTTGTCTATAATTACTCCATTAACTTGCAGTAGTGCCACATGTTTTGAATAGGGCTAGAAATGTTAAGTGCCTAGTTGTCAGGACACTGTAAAGATATGATGCTGGTGCCTAAAAATTTAATGCCTTGTTCAGTACTGGTTTTTAAATACTTTCAGTGTCCAAGCTGTTTCATGAGCTGTTTTTGTATTTGCATTATACAAAGTGGACAGTCTGCCCTGAAACTTTTAACATTTCCTAACGTGCTTGCTTGAGAACACTTTTGCACCAACAAATGTTAGACAGCTGCTACCTTGGACAGTGTTAAAAATGATACCCCAAACTTGATCAAGTTTTAGAATTGTGTTCCACTTGCCTGCATATATGTTGGCCTTGTTCAGTAGGTCTGTGCATGCATGCATGTCAGCAAAAGCACGAATGCCCAGACAGTTGACAGGATGAAGCTGGGTTTCCAGAAAATCACAGCAACTCTTCTTTACATCCTGCAACTGCAACAAACTAGCTGCCGGGAGAAGGACCTACAATAACCAAAACTAGATGAGTACATGCAGACAATCAACTGCTATTACTGTTATTGTGGATGAAAGAAAACATAGTGCAAACACATTAGAAGTATTAGAACCCAAGCAGAAATATGACCACTGGAGTTGAACATTATGAAGTTGCTGCCTTAGTTTTACTTCCATTTTGAGAAGCTTACGTCTAAGAAAGAGAGTGCATGATTAGTTTTCTGCTGAAGTTACAATATAGCCAATGTTTCAGTTCATCTTGCATTTCCTTACTTTTCTTTTTTCATTACCTGAGTTTGCTTAAATAGCACATTGTTGGGAAAATTGGCACTTTGACTGCTAGAGAATTTAAATCCATACCATGTTTAATCTAGGGTGGCCATTCACTTTTCCTCTCCCCTCATCAAGATTCTGGTGCTTTGTCTAGGACATTTTGATCTGGAAAAGCATATTAAGCATCTTGAACCATTATGAAGGGTACATGTGTACAAGCTATATATTAGCTCATTTTTCTATACGATTTGTGCAGCAGCAGCAACATATGCCAGAGAAACAAAACAGACTGTTTGTCGGAACTGCCACTTCCCTTCTTTAATGTTTCATTTACATTCACCATTCTATTTTAGTGCTATTTGTGCAGGCACATTAAAGAGCTTCAGAAATAAGTGGGCACTGTTAAAATTCTGGCCCCGATACAGGTGTCACAGATGGTCAGAACAGCTATTGCATCCTTTCCTTATCAGACTGTACTGCAGCGTGTCAAGGCTTTCAACAACAGGGCCACAGAACCCCCCAGTATTAACATGGAGCTGGTTCATACACAATAACCTTTTCATAATTTGAAGTGTTTCTGCAGACATCTTCAATTTCTAAAAAGTTTCATAGAGAGAGGGAAAATAATCACGACCAGAGGTCGATTCGAGGGAATCGCAGGGGATCGCCGTTCCCCCGGGTGAGGTGCGGGGGGCGGGGCACACGACGAAGCATATGCTAATGATTTATGCTAATGAGTTCCCCTAGCTCTTTTTCTACGAAACAACCCCTGATCACGACTATTTTCTGGAACCAGCTCATGGTCATGAGCAGGAACACCGAACCAAAGAGCCATCTGGCTGTCATGCACAACCAGCTCATGGTCATGAGCAGGAACACGGAACCAAAGAGCCATCTCAACATACTAACTCCCTACACAACACTGGCTGTCATGCACACTGCTCTCATGGATTACAGCAGATATTTTGATGTATCTACTTCATTTTCCACATATATTACAAAAGGGGGGAAAGATTGAAGTCTTTAAAAGAAATAGGGGGTGTCAGTAAGTCACCCGGTATTCTCATCCACTCTTCCCTACAATACTGGATTATAAGAAGCTGCTTTCAAGTTCCCATGTGTTCAGAAAACCAAACACTAAACTGCAGAAATGCCTCAAGCTGAAACACTTTGTGCTGCTTGTCTTTCAAGAAAGCATGAGTCAAGACAAACATCTGTAGTGGTGGGTGGGTGGCATTTCAGAAGACTAAAAATACATTTTGACATCTGTAACACAAAGCTAAAAGCTAACACTTTACATTTCACCCAGGAAAGTTATTAGCACTCATTCATTTCAGAGGCAGCAAATTGTTCCTAAAATCATTTACAAGTATCATATGTAAATGCCTCCTAAAAATAACACCTTTTTGCAGTGGGCTTATTACAGCTCTGCTTGAAGTCCAGGTATTGTTTATGCATCTAGGAAGTTACCAGGCTACAATGTTCAAGCTTGTCTAACAGTCCCAAACATGTGTCTATAGGGGGCAGCTCCAGGTTACATTGCGTACTCAAGCTGATTTCCCTAAACAAAATATGCATGCGAGTTGGTATTTGTAGATGTGTTTTAGATAGTGAACTCTGCCTGAAAAAACATAAAATGAGCATTAATCTGAAAAAGATGAAATCCCATTTGTGTGCATTTTTTCAGGCAGAAATCACATTTAAACACATGGCAGCGCTTAATAAATGCTGAGGAACCTCATAGGATTTGCACCCACAGGGTGAACATGGCACATACAGTATGCCATTTCCAGAATCTCCATCTTTTTCCAGGCAGTCACAACTCCCCCATCACCTTACTGTGTGTTTCATAAAATAACCTATATTCATCATAATTTGAATTATCTTTAAAACAGCTTGACTTTGCATTCACAGTGGGAACATCAGAACATGGGCATTTATATACCATATGGTGTGCCTCCAGTAGCCACCTGCTTACCTCCCATGACCTCAGCCTTGGCATTTGCAAATCACTCCAAGATCTTACATTTGGGTAAAGGGCTAAGTCACAAAGTGCACAGCTGAAAGCAAGCTGCTGGCTTAGCAAATCAATTCCTATTCCCAGTAAGTAACACCCAGCAAGATGCAAAGATTTTCTTTAACAATGAATAGAATTTGGTGGATTGTAAAGTGCATTCTCATTTCTGTCTTACTTGCTAAAACAATATATTTTAGATGGGAAAATCACATGGAAATCCTGACAACTTGTTCAAGAATGCCCACAAATAAATAACTTGAATTATTATACTCAGTGTCTGGGATCAGAGAACAAAGTACAGTGCGTGTTGTGCTGGGGTGTGTGTGTATTAAAGAGCAAAGGGGAGGAAAAGGTTTCACAGGTGTGTCTGTGTCTCTTTCCCCCCTCCTAGCTTCAGGCTGCAACCCTTCTTGGTCAAAAGCCCTTCAGCTTTTGCGTCTGAGCTAGCTCAGGTTTAACGGGGGGGGGGGGGGGGGCTTGAGAAGAAATTTT